TTAACTTTCACATAATTCAGAACCCCATTTATGCAGAAGGCAAGAGCTCAAAGCTTGACTTAGAAAAATAATTCAGTAAACCATTGAACATACTTCTGGATGCAGCTCATGCATTATCTCATACATGTCCAAAAGCACAAACAACTTTTCTGGAGACCTTTTACTTTTAGCAATAGCCTCCCCGAAACTAAGAAGCACCAAGACACTGTCTGCAGTTACTTCAGCAAAACAATAATCCTTCAGATTATTATCAACACCCTCAAAAATCTGGTCACAGATTTTTCTCTCTGCAGCAAACAGCAGTTTGACCTGTTTCATGCACAGTCAAATTAATGGGAAAAACGTGCAGACAGTGGCGTTGATTTCGTATATAAATTACTTACAGCAATTCGCATGAAGTGGATCCAATTCCCAATTTTTGCTTCTAAGACTTCCCACTGCATCTTTGCCACATCATCTTTACCAAGTTTCTCCACTCCCAATTTTCGAAGGCTCAGTTCTAAAGTTGAAGCACGGGTCTCTCTGAATGCAACATGCAAAAGATAAAACTTAAGATTCATGATTAGGACGCAATTGCACATATATGTCTGACAACAACCTGAAGTTTGACAGAACGGAGCTTAAAAGGTGCAGTTGATGTGATAATAAGAGAGAGTGATACATGGTTCAAATGTAGAGTAAGATCATAATTTCAATTGAAGAAGGAACACTACAAGAATACCATTCCTAGAAATTACACACGATAGTCATATTCCATGAGATTCATTGTATAATTTAATTATTCCACATAAATGCTCCTTCCCCAAGTAGTTAACATCAGTTTAACTATCGCAACTATAAACCTTACAATAACTTGTAGATATGTAACTTAAAATCCTTTGTGTATCATTATTGTCAGCAATTTATGACAAACTCTTGACATCACCTACCACTGCTACATGACTATTGGCATAATTTACTTGCCTTGTTTCTGTTTTCTTTTGATGTGAGCAATGAATATGATGTGGTCTCCCATAAAAAGAGGGGATTATGCATCCTATAAAGAAAAAGGAATAAAATAAAATAAAATAAGAGAAAGGAAGTATGAGTTTATCTTAACAAGATGGAAGTACGTACTCCCCTGTGGAAGTAACTTCCTTAAGCATGTGTCATAAATGTTTCAATATCTGGGTTCGAAGAATAAAGATGTAGAGAATAGGCTAACACTTATGAACTCATACAAAAATGCCAAGAAAATTAAAGCTGTTCACAGTAATAGATCTTCAAAGCATCTGTAATTTCTCACAAACAAACATTAGCCACATAACACAGTAGCTCCTACTTCCTGCTCAATAGTACTATTAATCAGAACTGAATTAAATCAAAACAATATATACATGCATCGCCATTCTAAAAATTCATACCGATAAATCTTTAGACACTGTTGCTGGTTTCCTGCTAGAACCATTTGTTGAGCTAGATCATGCAACAACGGCAAAATCCTTGGAGGAATGAGAGTTGGTGGTTTGTATATAGCATTTTCTATGCTTTTGACTTGGTGGTCAGATTGATTAGATGATGCACTTTTACCACCTTCACCTTCAGCTGGTGGCCGTAAAGAGTTAGGAAGGCACTCAATAAGGCGGTCAGGTTCCATAGGCTTGCTAAAAAATAAGAGAAGCAACTTATTGAAGAGAGTCGAAAAGATCGCAAACAAGCAAAATGTTCATAGATTTTATTATGATAATTTATGTCAGATTGAATATATATCATGCAGATTGAAATCCTCGAACACTTTAACATATAACTGTGGTGAAATTCAAGTAGTATGTTCACAGAAACTATTTGTATCAGACATTGACACTAACATATAACAAGTTCAAGTGCATCCCCAGACTCTAATCATTATCCTAGATTTAATTAATGGGTATCATCACATAAGATGGAATTTTCTATCAGAAAGAAGTTGCAGGGAAATCATTAAACCTTACATGTCTATAAAGATATATATGTTCACATATATCATAATACTAGTCCATAATATAATTTTATAATATAATAGAATTTGATAAGGAGTTTGTGCATGATGCATTCATTTGCTTGTTCCTTACAAGCTTTTGTTTCTTCCTATAACACTTCACTTTTCCATCTTTCCTGTCTGCGTAACTCTAGTACTTTTAAATTATTTTCTTCTTCCGTACCCACAAAATAGAATCTGAAAGGAGCCATATTTTTCTATCCCAAATTTGGTTCGATTATGAAGAATGTTTTACTAAAGGAGATGAGTAAATTACAGCTCGATATTTGCTTATTGCTTACTGAAATCTATACCAAACATGGGTCAAGCTAGAACGTGTCCACATTTTCTCGAGTGAATTAGAGTTGTTCATTGGAAGTTTTCTCACTTTTGCATCTACATTGACAGATTTATTATTATTATTACTTACTTACTTACTTTGAGACAGGAAAAAATGCTTATAGACACCAACCTGTAATTAGCTAGAAGCTGCTTGAACTCCTCATCGAGCTTCATGATTGCCTTTGCTAACAAACTGTTGATGTGGTTTAGCACCGCATCACTCTTAAAATTTTTATTTGAGCTAAAGAATTTGACATTAGACCTCAGCTGTTCAACTGCCTCCAAATAGCTCTCAAGATCCTCATGTGGCCCCTTCAGAATTTTAGCCTCAGCCTAGAACACCAGAAGAAAATGGAATCCGTTATCAATTCAAGATGTCTGCATCTAGAGATTATCAGGCTAGCTATATTTAATTGCTGTGAGAGTTGAATGTAATATTTCCATCATTCTGAGCTTACGTGCACATACGAGAGCTGTGTTCAGCTTGCAGGCCCATAGCCTGATTTCGATCTACTTAAAGAGAAGCAGACTCAAATTGAAGCCTCAGTAGTTACAAAGAATATAATTAACCATCTCATTTAACAACACTACATTCTCATGGAAATGTTTTGAAATTCCCAGGCTAAAAATAAAGAAACCAAAAGGTACCAAATACTCTGAAAAGTTTGATTTCTACCGCAACTAACATAGGGAATGAAAGTTTGACTGAAAATTTTTGATTTTGAGTTGGATTAGTTAAAATCGAAACTTTTAACACTCCATGATTCGGCTCAAATGTAATGGAGTTATATATCACACAATAACACGCTGAAGGTGTTAGTTCCAATCCTAACTATAAAAAAGGAGCTACCTATTATTATGTACTAAAACAATTGCCACTGGTCGCAATAATGCAACAACTGATAGCTATTTTTAGTCTTCTATGTTTCTCGAAATAGTATTTATCTCACACTATTAAACTTGACTTTTTCAGCTTTCTTATGCCATGTATCATCGTCTCTACACCAATCATATCAATCATTATGCCTACACCGATCACGTAAAAATTCAATAATCGGCCCCATTAATTAATACGCCACTTCGCATCTCTCTAATTCGCGTGCATTGCAAACTAGCAATTCATGGCACACTTCAAATGGTATAACAAATGCCCAAAAAAAAAAATTTAAGATAAAAAAAGGGGACCAAACCTGCCGAGAGAGATCAAATTGGCGCAGAATCACCCCGGCCGACTTCAACGACTTATCAATATTCTCATGTGCGAGCCTAATCGCATGCGTTCGAACCTAAAACCAGAGCTCAAATCTAAAATTTCAAACAAAAGGAAAAAAAAAATATATTTACCCATAAATTCAAGAGTTTTAGATCAAGCATTCAACCTGAGTAGGCCGCATTGCCGCCTCGAGGGCGGAGAGCCGGTGATCGAAGGACCCAAGAATGGCGACCATGCTGTCAGTATTAGTTTGGCTCTTTTGTAGAGATTCTCTCAGTAAGCTCGCTCTCTCAATTAGGGTTTCAACCGGCCCCATTTCCCCCTTTTTTTTATTAATTTATTTATTTATTTCTGTGTTTTTGATTTTTGAAGAGGGATTTTCCGTCGGAAGAGGTGAACCGTTATGGAAGTTAGCGCGTTTTTGTGAGAGGGTGTTGCGGGTTGAGGGGGGTGACCCGATAACCCGGTAGGATTCCGACCCGAGTTTTTGGTTTTTGGATCCGGAAGACTGGGGATGGGTAAAGCTGTTGGAGTTTGATGAGGAGTTTTTACATTTTCATCCTGGTCATAATTCATATTTTACAGTTTCGAACATCTCGAAATTGCTCTTACTGCGGACTAAAAATGAATGTATTTTTGTAAAAAAAATTCTGAGTTTAAATCCATATTCGAATTTCCTTCGCCGATATAAATTCATACTAAAAATGTTTGTTTTCCCTTTGAAAAAACTAGATTGATATGTCACATTATTAAAAACAAAAACTTGTGTGCTTGAAGATTGCAATGTTTAGTTCAATTTTTTTAGAGTAGCTTACTTATTGCATCGTGTTAAATTGTTATTAATCTCAGTATATATTGCAAGAATAGTTTCTTCAAAAGTAATCCAAACGCCAAAACTATCAAGTTGAAATTTATTTACAAAAAAAAGGTTTTGGCATGTCATCAATTAAGTAGCAACGTCAGTTGAGGACATGTCGAGATCTACTTTCTTTTTTGAATAAATGGGAATGCAGTTGTTTTTATAACAATTAAGTTATATTTTAATAGTTAAAATAACAAAAGTATGACCAGATCTGAAAATACTTAAAGAAAAATAGAATAAAAACCTTTAAAATATGTCGAGCAAGTATGTGGAGAAAATAAACCCGAAAATGCTTAAAATGGAAAGTTTATAACTTTTAACAGCTAAGAAGTTCTAAAATTAGCTTGTGAGTGGAGTGTCCAAATGTGAAAATTTATATAAGTGATTTGAAATTAGTCACACAGAACTTTCAACTTGCAGACCTAACTAGAAGGACTAATTTCAAATTGTTATGGGGCAGTAATATCAAAATGTGAAAGATGTGGGGGACTAATATGGAAAGATGGAAGACTAGGGGGATTGATTTCAAAAAACTTAAAAGCTTCGGGGCACTAATTTGTAAATATTAAGGCATTTGGGGCCTAATTTCAAAATATTAGGACACGCGGAACTAATTCCAAAATATGAAAGATTTGGGGATCAAATGTCTCACCCAGAGTTGCAATATTTCCCGTTTTAAAAACTAAAAGAAAAGGTGGGGGTTCTTCAGAATCAAATTCTCTATTTTTGCGTACTCGGGTGGTTCCCTGTTTTTGAGGGAAAGACTCTTTTGAAAGCCTGTCAAAAATATCAAAAGTGTCACTTTTTAGCAGACTTTCAGCCAAAATTGCTTTTTAAAAAAAATTTGGTTAAAATCCTGCCAAAAAGTGACAGTTTTGACACTTTTGGCAGGCTTTCAAGAGAGTGTTTCCCTCAAAAACAGGGAACCAAACAGCCGCCTTTGGAGTCGGTTATATGCTTCTTCTTGTGGTGTGTACTGCTGTTTGTTTGGGTTTATCGTGTTATAACGAAAATTAGATTTCCGTGTCACCTCGTATAACGAAAAATAGATTTCCGTGTCACCTCGATGGATTATGATTTATTTGTACATATATATTTACGAGAAAAATTAGATTATGCATATTTACGAGAAAAACTGAGGGAATGAAATAATATAGATGAATACAATGTCACCTCTTTCTTCTCCTTCAAACAGCTGGGAAGGTTGTGCTTAGGCCAATAAGCTATGAAAATGTGAAGAATGGAGAAATGCCCGCAAAAGTTCACTATTACAGATATTTACATACAAATATGTTTCTTGTACTCAAACATTGTTTCATGTAATTCTTTGCAGATATTCTGGGCCCTTGACTTTTTATGATTAAGCTTATACGCGCAGTTGAGGAGAGCTAGTAGTTCACTGTTGAACTCAAACACAAAAAAAGAAAAAAAAAAGAAAAAGAAAAAACATGATTGATAGAAATTACAGTTAGTAGGTTAATAAGTGATTTCTTTAGTTGCACAAATATAGAGGAGCTTGGAAGCCCCTAACAAGAAAATATGTGAACTGATATTATGAAAACAAGAAAATTGGCGCAGTCACAATTTTAAGAGTATTGAGTAAATTTATGATTACTCTCTAATACTGCAAATAATAACAATAATAATTTATGATTATTCTCTAATAATTATTTTTAAAATAGATCAAAATGTAGAAAGAAAGAAATTTAAACTATTCTTTCCTAACTCTGTAGCTTGTGGGACGACATGGCCAGACCATTTCGTGCCATTTTTCTTGTCTCCGCATTTCCTGTGTTGATAATATTGTATTAGTAGTGGGTTTAGTCCCACATTGGCTATGAGGAGACACCTCACCCTCCTCTACTTGTATATCTATATGTACACAAACAATATTTAATTCAAGGGAAATTTACTCAAGACTATCTCTCTCTTGCTTCAACATGATATCAGAGTTTGGTTTCCCAAATAATAAAAGTTTTCCAAAAAAAATAAAATTTTCCCTTCTAAGTTGCCGATCTCAATTGCCGCAGGAGATCTCGGCCGCTGCCACTCGCCTGAGATCTCAGTCGTCAATCTCAGTCGCTGCAGGAGATCTCCGTTTTAAAAACTAAAAGAAAAGGTGGGGGTTCTTCAGAATCAAATTCTCTATTTTTGCGTACTCGGGTGGTTCCCTGTTTTTGAGGGAAAGACTCTTTTGAAAGCCTGTCAAAAATATCAAAAGTGTCACTTTTTAGCAGACTTTCAGCCAAAATTGCTTTTTAAAAAAAATTTGGTTAAAATCCTGCCAAAAAGTGACAGTTTTGACACTTTTGGCAGGCTTTCAAGAGAGTGTTTCCCTCAAAAACAGGGAACCAAACAGCCGCCTTTGGAGTCGGTTATATGCTTCTTCTTGTGGTGTGTACTGCTGTTTGTTTGGGTTTATCGTGTTATAACGAAAATTAGATTTCCGTGTCACCTCGTATAACGAAAAATAGATTTCCGTGTCACCTCGATGGATTATGATTTATTTGTACATATATATTTACGAGAAAAATTAGATTATGCATATTTACGAGAAAAACTGAGGGAATGAAATAATATAGATGAATACAATGTCACCTCTTTCTTCTCCTTCAAACAGCTGGGAAGGTTGTGCTTAGGCCAATAAGCTATGAAAATGTGAAGAATGGAGAAATGCCCGCAAAAGTTCACTATTACAGATATTTACATACAAATATGTTTCTTGTACTCAAACATTGTTTCATGTAATTCTTTGCAGATATTCTGGGCCCTTGACTTTTTATGATTAAGCTTATACGCGCAGTTGAGGAGAGCTAGTAGTTCACTGTTGAACTCAAACACAAAAAAAGAAAAAAAAAAGAAAAAGAAAAAACATGATTGATAGAAATTACAGTTAGTAGGTTAATAAGTGATTTCTTTAGTTGCACAAATATAGAGGAGCTTGGAAGCCCCTAACAAGAAAATATGTGAACTGATATTATGAAAACAAGAAAATTGGCGCAGTCACAATTTTAAGAGTATTGAGTAAATTTATGATTACTCTCTAATACTGCAAATAATAACAATAATAATTTATGATTATTCTCTAATAATTATTTTTAAAATAGATCAAAATGTAGAAAGAAAGAAATTTAAACTATTCTTTCCTAACTCTGTAGCTTGTGGGACGACATGGCCAGACCATTTCGTGCCATTTTTCTTGTCTCCGCATTTCCTGTGTTGATAATATTGTATTAGTAGTGGGTTTAGTCCCACATTGGCTATGAGGAGACACCTCACCCTCCTCTACTTGTATATCTATATGTACACAAACAATATTTAATTCAAGGGAAATTTACTCAAGACTATCTCTCTCTTGCTTCAACATGATATCAGAGTTTGGTTTCCCAAATAATAAAAGTTTTCCAAAAAAAATAAAATTTTCCCTTCTAAGTTGCCGATCTCAATTGCCGCAGGAGATCTCGGCCGCTGCCACTCGCCTGAGATCTCAGTCGTCAATCTCAGTCGCCGCAGGAGATCTCGGCCGCTGCCATTGTCGACGAGTCTGCCGCTGCCATTGTTCCAGATCTTGGTGGAGATCTACTCAATCCCGCAATCTCCGCCACCGGAGATCTGATTGGCCGTCGCGATCTCCGTCCCCAAATTATCATTGTGATTTTTCGACACGATCTCCAATAAGGGGGTGTTTTGGGCTTTCATTTGTATGAGCTTTGGCTAACACACACGAGCGTGTGCACGTACGCCGCTCACGCCACATTTTAAAATTTTCAACTTCTTTTTACACGTTTTTCACATGGAGAACGTGCGTAACGGCTGCACGTTTTTTGGAGAACATGCAAACGGTCGAACGTTACACGCGAATTTAGCGAACGTTACGCGGGATTTCTCAACGACTAAGGGTTTCTCAACCCTATATATACCGCCTCTTACCATCTCGGAAATAAACAACAACGAAAGTTCTTCTCCCTCTCTCCAGTCTTCAGAGCCCGAGAAAAATTCTTTACTTTTCTTCCTCTCAAAAATTTGCTACTGTTACTTATTTTATTTGAGCAATCTTCTCCATATGAGCAGAAGCTCTATACTCTCGCCCGAGTACAGAGGCCAGCTGTTTCCAGGGGCTTTTACCGCTATGGGAGAGGGGATTATCTGCTCCAGGGCGATAGGCGGGTCCTCAATCTTCTGGGGCAGTGCTTGCACGACTGCTACCCGATCATGCCAGACTTTTCTGTTTATTTTGTTTTAGGATTTATTTTCATGTTATAAGTTAACTTAATTTAATATTTCTCTTACAAGACTATATTCCTTTTTGTGTTTAATGTGAAAGTTCATCCCAATAACCAGCTAAATATTACTACACACACGTGTGTGTGTGTATTTTTCAAATAATGTTATGAGGGAAGGAGCCTTAGATCAACCATGTATCCTTGAGATTATTTGGATACTTCAGAGGAGAGAATGAATGCCGCATCATTAAATGAATCTGGACTAATCATTGTTACTGTAAAATTTCACATAATTAATGACAAATTAACCATATTTTTTAGCGCATTGGATACAACCAATAGAAAAGGGGCCTCATCTTGGCAATGATCTGGAATTTGATATGAGGGAATGAATGAGGATTAACCATAATTTGGATACAATTACCAGAGAAAGCACCTATGTTATATTTCTATTCTTAGAGATTTGGGTCCATTCACCCCGTTATTTCTCTACATGCATCTCTTCTATATATAATTCATCAAACTTTTGAAGGAATGACACCCATTTCTAGTTTGTAGAAGGCATGTAGTCTCATTGATTAGGATACAAGAGCTCCAAAATCATCTCTTTTCGCTTCTAATGGAATGAAGTTATTTTTTCATTGCTATCGTTTTTCAGAGTTCTGTATTTTCTTTCAATAGGCTAGAATATTTCTTTGTTTGCTGTTTATTAGTTATTTTGATGGGTGAGATGGGATCAAATACTTCAACAATCATTTTTCGTAAAAAAGGATGGTCTGCGGTCTCTTTTTGAGATCGTGGAACATCCATCTTGACGTTCTGCATCGTCCTCGGTAGAGTGTCTAGCCTTAGGGGATGAGTATGGGAGTGATATGTCTCTTATATTAGGATGAGAATTAGAATCTAGGAAACTACAAAATTTTCTTTTACTTTTTCTGTCATTGTGTTGTGCTGATGGAATGAAGTTGTGTAAATGAAAGATAAATAAGGAATATTTCTCTTGCTTCCTTTTTGTTGCTTCCCTTGTAGTTGTAATACTGTCACAGTTACCATCGAAGTTCCGTGATTTTTTTTGGGACAGTTTAACGGTTCTTATTTTTATTTCAAGATCAAACTCCAAAGTTTTGCATTTCTCTCTAAATTCTTTGTCCTTAGAAAAGATGCACGTCTTGGTTTCGGCGGTTGCGTCAAGTATAGTGAGAGGAGTAAAGCAAATTTGAGTCACTGTAAAATGTATGTCCCTCTCATGAGAGTCTGTCATTGTGTTGTGAGAGATTGTCTGTTGAACTCAAAACACAAAAATAACGTGATTGATAGAAATTACAGTCATTCGGTTAACAGTCGATCTTGTTAATTTTAGTCACTGTAAAATGTATGTCCCTCTCATGAGAGTCTGTCATTGTGTTGTGAGAGAATTTTGAAGTCATAACAAGAAGTTATGCAATCTGAAATTATGAAAACAAGAAATTTGAGTGCAGTCAGAATTTAGGAGTGCTAAATAAATTTCCTGAAACAGTAGGTATCAGCAAAAGGCTTCTTTCTTGACTGTTACATATACTAGATTCAAAACAGTGTTTCGAGTGTGCAAGAAGCGGAAACAAAGACTCCTCTCTTGATTGTTAAGCCAACGACTTGGATTGGTTCTCAATACTGAAAAAAAGAAATGGTTAACCTTACAATTATTCTCTAACAATAATCTTTAAACGAGATCAAAATTTAGAACAGAAGAGATTTAAGCTGTTCTTGCTTACTCTGCAGCTTGTGGAACAACACGACCTGGCCATTTCGCGCTATTTTTCTTGTCTTTATGTTTCCTGCTCTCTCTCTTCGAATACTTCTTAAACTTTGCAGCTTTTCCCAAAACTTCAAATTCTTCGATCACAAGATCAAGCCTCGCTACCATCTCCACCAGCAATGAAGCAAAAGCTGCGAATGGAAGAGCATCTGAGAACTCAAGGTTGCGTATCACAATCATGCTCAGTTGTGGCCTCAGTACTTTCTGGTCAGCTGAATCTTTCTCTGTATCTTCTTGTTTTCTACTTTTTTGATTATCTAGCCTCTTGCTTTTCAAATGGTGTAGTGTTTCGGGGACACTGGCTTTTTCGGTGGAAGGGAATCTGCTGGGGCCAAGAAAAACCTGGGGTTGAGATTTAATGGCTGAGTCGAGATCTTGAAGGGCTCTGTGGAGTTGATCAGAGAGAACATTTGGTGGGCAGTGGCGGTGGTTTTTAATGCCGGTGGCAAGCTGGTTTAGGACTTTGTAGACTTCTGCAGCCAGTCGAGTGCAGGGATCTCTGAATTGAGACCGAAGAGATTGTGGAGCCTAAGAGAAAATGTACAGGTTTAAAGATTTGATTGTTCAGATAATATCTGCATAAAATTGTACCAAGAGGATATACCTCAAGTGCCAAATACATAGGACCAAATACATTTTATTTTCAGTTATCTTCTCTGCTGCAGATGCCAAATGGCAAGAAGAATGCATCATGATGTTAACTTTGCTTGATAGCACAAAGATTGCACAAAGATAATGTTAAGTTGGCACATTTAAATTTTCAGAGATGAACATTTGTGTCTGCATGAGCATTTGTTTGTTTGAAACCTGTTGAAGTTATTTCTTCTCGGCTTCTTAAATTTGTGCATGTGATTCATGTGAACCACAGTCTTTATCCCCTGATGTAAGGGAATTTTTACCTTTTGGTTAGAATCATAAACATGTTGGTATATCTATATATCTGTTCATGTCAACATAGTTTTTGTTGTAGCATATAGTCATTCTTAAAATACAAAACAAAGGCTCACTGGAACATCAGGCAAACAAAGCGTGCGAAAGAAATTCAGCAGATGCCAAGCTAAGGTTTATAAACATACTGGATTCATTTTCATTTATGAATTATATTACTAGGTTTTAGTTTGTATTCTCATATGTAACCTTCATTATTAAATAATTATAGAAACTAGTTGCAAACTTTTGTTTTATTGCAGGCGCATCTGGATATCTAGCTCTAATATTCGACTATATTCTTTTTATTTTTTGTGCAAAAATTCATCAGGTCTAGATACTATACTTTGGTTGGTTACAGTTACAGTGATTGCAACTCTTGTTGCTATACAACCCAGATATTTTGATATCTACTTGTTTTCAAATAATGACTTGCAATATTAATAATTTTCATTCCAAAATTGTCTATCCTTCTACATAAGCAGCCAAGTATTACCAAATTCTGAAAGTGGCATCTGAGGGAAGGAACTTTAGATCAACATATATTCTTGACTTTATTTGGATATTTGGAAAGAGAGAAAGACTGTTGAATCATTAAGTATATGTGGACTAATCATCGTTACTATAACATTACATAGGATTAAATCCAAATTAATCATATATCATGGTACACTGGATACAACCAATAGAAAAGGAAAGCAATCAACCTTATCCTGGCAACAATCTGGCATTTGATAAGAGAGAATGAATGAATATTAACCATAATTTGGATACAATTACCAGAGAAAGAACCTAGATTATATTTCTATCCGAAGAGATATGGATTCATGCACTTCATTATTTCTCTACATGGATCTGTCCTATATATAACGCATCATATTTTTGAGGGAACGACATCCATTTCTAGTTTGTGGAAGTCATGTCGTCTCGTTGTTTAGGATATAATGTTGAGCGCAGTGGAAATTTCGGCAGAGTTTCTGGTGCACAATAAGAGAGAAAGATCGATAAGAATTCTTGTTTCTCAAAGGGAACAAGAATCTGAAGCCTAATATCCCATCAAAGTGGGATATTTGCTCTTCCTCTCGTCAGCTCTAGGACTGCGCGTCGAGGGATCCTAAAAACTATTACAATGGCCACAAACTCAAACAATTAATTTTACGTGGTTCGGCAAACTGCCTACGTCCACGGGGCAAGGAGGGGGATCTACTATTAAAGAGAAAAAGAATACAATGGGTTTACAACTCTCACAATCTAAACCCTCAAATAGGCTCCTTGCTTTTCTTCACAAGAAAAGGTCAGCCTCCAAATATTTTTTCTCTCACAAAAGGATAATCGCCAAAGCACTCTTTTGCACGAAATCCTAGAAGAAATAGCCGATTTTCACCTCTGCCTTCCCTTGTTTCACGCAGCAGCTTTTCTCCCCCTGCCTACTCCACCGAAAATAATACCCTAGCATGGGTATTTATAGCAGCTTGAAAATCGGGTGGGCCTTTAGCCTGATGTCCGCAACGAGAGAACAAAACGTGTGATCTGATCATTTGCTTCATTCACGTGGTGTGGTCCCCACACGATTTCTTTTTTCACGCGTCTTCTTTTTGGCTTCTTCACGTGTGCTCACAATTCTCCACCTCGGCGAAGTTTTCTCAAAACTGAGCCGACACCAACCAAACCAAATGTCTCACTTGTTGTGTCCAGTACACCGTGAAACAATTCACGACAACAGACTCAATCCATAACAAGTCGAGAACCCAAATGAGAATGCAAACAATCTCCAAATGTCAGTATCAACTCACCAAATCGATCTCACCCCATCAAAATCCAACACCGGCTGCATCATAAAGACTGCCTACGTATCCTCTTGCCCAAGGAATCAAGCCGAACGTAGTTCACTCCCCGGCTGCATCATAAAGACTGCCTACGTATCCTCTTGCCCAAGGAATCAAGCCGAACGTAGTTCACTCCAATGGTCGCGAACGACCTCAAACCAATAGAAGAGTTCGCAACCCTTCTCCAATATCATCAACTCTACGGCTGATAGCACCTCCAATGGCCTTGAGGCGAACCAATGGCCATATCCAAACTATGTCTGCCAGCTGCACTCGATTCAAAACCCAACTCATCATCTGCATCCGAATCCAAATGACTTCCACGCTGTGTCACCTCAGCTGGAATCCCAACCAATGCAGAATGATCTGGAGTAATCTTTACCCAATGTGGAGTAGCATCACTCTCCACCCGCTGCGATACCTCTAAGGTCTGTCCAAAACTCTCCACCTGCTGAGAGTCAATTGGCTTCCTCATCGAAGCCTCAACCAAAGTGACACTACCAGACCTATCTTCCAATGGAGTTTTACCTCCAATCACAGCAGTTGACAACTCTTTAATAGGATGACCCAAATATGTCGAAGCCTCTGTCCAGAAACTCTTCTGCAGACCATTGCTCGACCACCAACACCGTTCCTCCTCCAGCAAGACACGGTTCTCCAAATTTGTCACCTTATCTAGTTGCCCCAAGATTTCCTTTCCAACGAAGTGTCTCGCAATGCCGTGAGCTCGGCTCCAATGCAGAAACGGGTCCATCTTGTACCTCCCACCAGAATGAAGTACCTTCACCTTTCTGCCAGTCACACACTTCTTCAATCTGTTGGAAACTACTAGGACTTTCTCCAAAGGGGATTTGATTGCAACCCAAACACGCCTAGAACAGTCACCAACAAAGGAAACCAAACGCCTATTACCTCCCAATGATGCTCCCTTGGAAGGCCCCCAAACATCCACGTGAACTCCTCCAGAACGACCCTTAGCACGGTGAATAGAGGTGCCACACTTCACCTCGGTCTTCTTGCTCACATCAACATGTTCACTGGACTTCAAACTGCAGGTCTTCGCACCCTCTTTCAATCTATGCGAGGAATCAATACTGGAATGGCCAAACCCCAAATGCCGCAGTCTAGTCAAATCAACAGAAGTCGTCAGCTCTTCACCTGCCACTATACCTCTAGTCAAGTAATACAGGTTATTTCTCCTGACGCCCTTCATCAAAATACGAGAGTCTCTCGCAATCTCGAGAACCATGTCCTCAACACGAACCTTCAGACCCTCTCCGACCAAAGCTCCAATCGAGATCAAGTTTTTCCTCAAAGAAGGAACATATCTCACATCATTTATCTCCCTAACAGTCCCGTCAAACATTTTTATGCGAATTCTTCCTATCCTAAGGATCTGGCATGCACGGTTATCATCCATGTACACCACACCACTATCCACCAGCTTCTTAAAACTGGAGAACCATTCCCTTCTAGGGCACACATGATAGGTCGCACATCTATCTAACATCCATTCAGATTCCTCCGAATAGCTATCTGTAGAACTGATAGAAAACGAATAAATAGAAGAGTCAGAATTATTACCATCCGATACAATGTTTGCTTCTGATGATGGTTGCTTCCCTTTTCCCTTCTGCTTATTCTTTATCCATTCGTCGAGCTTTGGGCAGTCTTTCTTCCAATGACCAGTCTCCTTGCACCAAGCACACTGATCTTTTCCTACTCTAGACTGTGACTTTCAATTCTTCCGGTTCGGATTCTTCCCTCTTGCGACCAACGCCTCTGCTACCGACTCGGTCGAAGTCTCCTTATCATTCTTCCGAAGCTGATAATTCACCAATGCAGCAGTGACCTCACTATACGAAAGAGATGCCTTCCCATTAATCAGAGTAAGGACGAAGGTCTCATATTCCTCGTCGGGCAAGGAACTCAACAACAGCAACGCCTTGTCCTCATCTTTAATCACGACATCCACATTCGTCAAATCCGCAAGAAGCTTAGTGTAGTGGTTCATGTGATCTCTAATGGAGGTTCCCTTCTTCAACTGGAAACGATAAAGTCTCCTCTTCAAATGCAAGCGATTTTCCACACTCTTGGTCAAATACTTGCTTTCGAGAATCTCCCAAATCTTCTTCGCAGAAGTCTCATTCATCACATCATATTTTAGATCTTGAGTCAAACAAGACCTAATCACACCACACGCCGTTCGATTCATCTTCTTCCAAACATTCTCTTCAATCTCATCTGGCTTGCCATCTAACTCCAAAGTATCCTCCAAATTCTGCGCGTTCAGCGCATCCAAAACCTCGCATCTCCATAATCCAAAGTTGTTTGTGCCATTAAACTTCTCAACATCTATCTTCATAGAGTGGATATTCAAACTCTGAATAGTCTTCACGCCAGAACCACCACTCTCGACACCCGAAGCACCTTCTTTCCCCGACATCTTACGCACCAACGAACAAAGAATAGATCCAAAACTGAAAAGATAGAGTCTTTACCAAAAGATCCCACATTTATCACCAACGAAGCCCTAAACGAGCCTCCAAATTGATCTACTCCTCCAACCAAACCCTAGATCTGGAATCTGGGCTCTGATACCACTTGTTGTGCGCAGCGGAAATTTTGGCAGAGTTTCTGGTGCACAATATGAGAGAAAGATCGATAAGAATTCTTGTTTCTCAAAGGGAACAAGAATCTGAAGCCTAATATCCCATCAAAGTGGGATATTTGCTCTTCCTCTCGTCAGCTCTAGGACTGCGCGTCGAGGGATCC